ATTCTAGACTCCTTGACAAGATCAAGTTTAAGGGGAAGCTTTGAGCTGGAATCTAAGCTTATACTTTCCGATAGCTAAGTGACTCATCATTTCCGGGGCATGGATAAGCGAGCAAAACCAAGGCGAGTAGCACGGTCCATGCTGCCAAGTTCACCTCTACCACGGAACCCTACTATATATCTTTGTACATTTCTATACTGTCGGCTGTTTAATCCTCAATAAGCTGTAGTTGTTCTAGTGTGAAGAGGAACTAGAAAAGGCACGCTTCCACTGTGCTAATGCTTATTGTTAATAAAAATGTCCTCCATATGTTTGACAAGAGGATGAAGATGAAGACGATATAATGTAAGGATGAACTTGGGGATGAGCTCACACTAGTATGATGTACGAGAATCTGTAGGTTAAATTTATGTGTGGGAGTGCGTCAGATTTCCCAAGTACGTAGTTGCGCCGATCATCATGCGTCGCGTTTCGGCACTGGGCTTGATTTCTGCAGATTTTCTTTTCTCCCAGATTTCGCTCCTTTCTTTATTTACGAGTTTTTGCTGTTGTGGGACTTGTTTTTACGCGTTATGTCGAGTTTAAACAACTTTGTTTCGCCTTTCCTCATGTTTTCTTTGCAGCATCTGGGTGAACTTTTGCAGCTCTCCTTGAGAGGTTCTTTCTTTCATTCTATCTTTTTCAACAATTTCTGGTGCTAAGAACTTATCCCATTCTCCGTCTTCTGTTTGTAAACTCTTCATTCCCTCTTCATATTCTTCATTCCTTATCGCAAATATTTGCAATTCTAAAATGTTTCAGTATAAAGTTCACTCTTGAAGTCTACGCGAATGGTCAGTATGGAGGAGTACAATGAAGATAAAAAAGAGGAAACACAAGAACAAAACGATGATAGCCGGGAAAGCAGTGACACCAAGCATAAGATGCCGCAAACAACCTATGTTCGCCTTCGGGGCTTGCCGTACTCGTCAAAAGAAAGCGATATCCGCGCATTTCTTGATGGTCATTCGTCATCTTTTGTGGATATTCATGATAGCAGAAAATAGTTTTTGTTCCAGGCATTCCAGTCACTACGATTACAATGAGTTCTTCATTCAACGGGCGTCCTAGTGGGGAATGCTATTGCGAACTGCCGACTAAGCAAGATGTACTCAAAGCGCTAGATTTTCACTGCAAGGAAATGGAGGGCAGATATATTGAAAGTGGGTTTCCCCGCTTATGGCATTTTTCTAAAAAGGAGCGGCCATTGTATTATATTTTGATTTCATGTTTACTTGGTGGCTAAACATTTGATTCAAATTTTTACAAATCAATTGGAAAAATCACCTTTCAACAATCGCATCATCTATTAGTACAGCTGGACTCGTCATATTTTTCAATTCATATAAATATTCGCGAATCATATTGTAAGCAATCCCACAGGTAAGAAATGAAAATCGCCTGACACACAAACCTTTTTGCAGTCAAATTGGAAATTAGAAAGCTTGTGCAGATTTAAAGCCATGATTACTTTGATGTCTTTAAGCTAACTTTCAATGACCAAATTTTGATTGACATTTTGAAATACTTTTTCTCTGACCCATCAACTTTTTCTATGTCATAGCTACAAACTTAAAATGTTTTTGGATTAGTGTCTCCATCTCATTCATCGTGGAGTACAC